ATTTCTAGCGTACCAGGGGCGTACTATATAGAATCGAATTTATATTATTATTTAGATATTAAATATAAAACGCTACAAGATAATATACGAGAAGGGGACAACAACTAACAGAAAATGTGTCTAACTTTTTACAATTTTCTCCATGCAAAAGCATTGTAACTTTGAAATTCCTATTTTTTTAGGATTAAGATTATTTTATTAAATTTTCTATTTATGGTTAATGTAATATAGGCTGAAAAGTATGGAAAATAGCAATCTTGCACTGAGGATGCGATATATCAAAGATATGATGAAATAGTCCAAGTTGAAAAAGAGTTTTATTTTCATTCTATACAGCCATACCTGTAGTTATTTGTATTTTAATACCAACTGATTCTTATGCAGGTACACATGCAGAAATATATCGTTCAGAAAAAATTTTTGCAATAAAGGTCCAAACAATTAATAACTAGTTTAAAAATTAGAAATATTGGTGCCTAATGGCCGAATTCTCTACATGATTTACTAATAGTGGCATACAAATATTTAAAACTGGAGACTTTGTTTGGAGGTTTGTGCTATTTTTTATAGTTGGTCAGTGTGATTATAGTTTGAAATCATATTTAATGACACGGCTAGAAAAGATACTAGAACAGAGAATGTTTCTAATAAATCTTTCATACGAAGTAGGAATGTTAAGGAATTAAGTACAGGGTATGGAAACGATGATGTCCAATGTTTAGAAATCTAATGAAATTACCACATTGGCTGCCACAATGGTATGAAAAAAAATCAATGGTCCCTCTGGCCATTATGTTTTTTATGCACAATTCGATATAAATTATCTTTATTTTTTGGTCATATTATTCAGTTAACCGTACGTTTTTTGCATATTTTTAAAAGAAGCCACATGTTCTTCCCACAGCCATAAAACAAGGATGTAGTTCTAATGACCGTATGAAGCCAATGAGGCTGCTTATTGTTTTAACGGTACAAGGTCGAATAATCAGACATGTAAACAAAATGGGAGGGATAACTGTATACTTCAATAGTTGCAATGAATTTGTCAGTAGTAAATATATTTATGCTTATTAGTGCAATATCGTTTGGTGACTGTATCGGGTAAATATGAGCTACAACTAAACCGATTAGAAGCTTCATGGCAGGTAATAACTTCACAATATTTTATAAGTGGGGAAAGTATTCTAATATTGTTGTATTATAGGAGGTCTCTGATAAAGATAAGCAGGTAATCTTCTTCTTCCTCAAGTTCCACTCCTATCGGAGATTGGAAATCATTCTGGCAATTATAATTTTATTGGTTACTCGCCTGAATAGTTCAATTGACCTGCATTCAAACCATTCACGGAGATTGTGTAGCCACGAGATTTTACGTCTTCCTACGCGTCTTCTACCTTTGATTTTACCCTTCATTATATTCCTTAGTCGTTCGTACTTTTTACCTCTCATGATGTGCCCCAAGTATTCCAATTTCCTGATTTTTATGGAATTTAAAACTTCGCATGGTTTTCCTAGTTGTTCGGTAACTTGTTCGTTTGTTTTGTGATCCATCCATGATATTTTCAAAATACGTCGGTAACACCACATTTCGAATTCTTCTAGGTTTTTAATGTTGGATTTTTTAAGTGTCTAAGCTTCAACTTCATACAAAAGGGTAGAGAAAATATAACATCGAAGCATTCTTATCCGGAGCGATATGTTGATATCGCGATTACAAAAACAGTTTTCTCATTCTATTAAAAGTTGACCGCAAAATTTCAAGCGGCATCTTATTTCTTTTGTCTGATCAGTATCTTCTGTGATCCATGCTCCAAGGTATTTGTACGAAGATATTTGTTTAATTTCTGTATTATCTAGTACCAGCTTAACTTTGATGTTTTGTGCTTTTGTAAATACCAAAAACTTCACTGTAATTCTGAGATGGCTTCACTGTATAAATTAAATAACAAGGGTGATAAAATACACCCTTGGCGGACACCACGGCGAATCTGGATATCCTTGGTCAGTTCGTTTTCAACTTTCACTTTTGCTGTTTGATTCCAATAGAGGTTACAGATGATTCTAATGTCTCTACTGTATATGTTTTTATTTAATAAAATTTCTTTAAGTCGATTATGCTGCACTCTCTCAAATGCCTTCTCAAAATCAATAAAACTGGCATATACTTCCTGATTAATATCTAAGCATCTCTGCGAAAGAACACTTAATGGAAACAGTGCATCTCGTGTTTACAGTCCTTTCCTAAATCCCATTTGTGTATTACTTATGCCTTCATCTAATTTCTTATGTATTCTATTGTACATTACTTTTAAAAACAATTTCAAGACATGACTCATTAAGGCTATGGTGCGATGTTCATTGCACTCGTTTGCATTGGATTTTTTGGGAAGCAGTATGAATGTTGATTGAAGCCATTCTTTAGGTATTATACCTGTTCTATTAATGGTATTGAATAGATGTAAAAGAATATCAATAGATTCAGTATTCACAATTTTAAGTAATTCGATAGGAACTTCATCAGGCCCAGGAGATTTACCACCTTTAGCTTGTTTCATTGCATATTCAATTTCTTCTCGTATAATGTCAGGCCCAGTATCATCCTTAAATTTTTTTGGTGCTTCTGTTCTCTCTTTGTCTTCAAAAAGTTGTGCTATATATTGTGTCCATCTCTGCATTTTTTGGTTTATATCTGATATAAGTGCACCCCTTTCATCTCTTAGTTGCCTAGTTTGAAGTGTTTTTCTCATTCCTGTTAATTCTCTAATTTTTTTTTGCATGTTAAAAAATTTTTTCTCACTTTCTTCTAGTTCTTGGCACTGCTCATGTAACATTCTCTCCTTAGCTTCTTTTATTCTTTTTTTTATTAATCGATCAGTTTCATTATATTTAATTGGATTGTTTGTTTTGAATGTTTTTTTTTCATTCATTAATAGTAGTATTCCTTCAGTCATCCAATCTTTATGTTTTCTATTCTTTGGTTTTAAGTTTTCATTTGCTGCTTTAATTACTGCTACTTTTATATTTTCCCATTTCTGATCAATGTTATAGCTACTTTTATTCAGTTCTTGGGCATTACGTAGATTTTCAGTAAGATTTTTTACAGTTTGTTCCTTTGTTTGTGGTTCCCTTAATCAGCAGGTAATATCTGAAAATAATTGTTCTTCTACAACGAAGAAATTTCTACAAAAAAACGTCTAAAAGTTACCACTTCAGAACCTTTAAATTTGGACAAAAATGAATTAAAAATAGAAGACGATAATGTGGGGGACATATTGATGAGAAAAATTTAATATATAATATAAAATAATACTACAGATAGTGACAATTATGGCAGCGAACAAAATAAAAATTTGGGCTTGATGGAGATCTGGTTTGGGATTGTATTTAATTTGGGATATTTATTAATTTAAATATTTATTGCATTCATGTATGCTTATTTTTGACAGTATTGACATTTATGTTGTTGTATTCTGTAGTCGCTGTTTATCTTTTAAGTTGAAAACATTTAATTAAACAGTAATTTAGCTTTTCAAACCTGGATTTCGACCAAGTGAATAATAGGTGATGAAGATACAGTGTTGTCTACAGTAGATGTTGCACGAATTATTGCATTGCTACAAGATGGAAGAAGTCAAGCTTAAGTATCAGAAACTTTAGGTATTCCGAGAACTACAGTACGAAGAGGTAGATAAATACTCACATACCTGATTCCGGTCGTAGAAGAGTTACCTTGCAAGGAGGTTTTATTGTAAAGGGTTTTTTAAGAAATTTTCGTTTCACTGCAAGAAACCGTCTGCAGGATGTTTAAAATGTAAATGTAAGTGAGAGGACGGTTAGAAGATGCCTCAGTGAAAGAGGACTAATGACAAGGAGACCGGCAACATCAACAGTTAGATATACAGGATTTAAGCCGAATTCTCTTTACTGGAGAATTGCGATTCTTTTTGAAGTCTCTCGGGTTTTGAGACGGAGACATAAAAGATATGCACAAGCTTGTATGTCACAGAGAAAAAAATTTAGCGGTGGTTGTGACATGTTTTGGTCTGAAACCTCAAACATTTAAACTTCAAACTAAACTTATCTCATCAATGGCCACCTGAATGCTCACCGGTATAGATGATGTTTTGGCAGAAGTAGTAGTAGTAGTAGTAGTAGTTTCATTTCAGCAAGAATCGCGACAAATTACTTGGTGGAAGTAGGAATTAATACTCTAGTTATGCTAAGAAATCAAGCAATAATGGTAATTTTTTGTTTAAAAAATGAAAGATATTGAACAAAATGACGGTATTAGATTTTGATTTGATATAGAGCAGCAACAAGCGGCATATACGTATTTCGATCTCTTTAGATCTCCTCAGTACGGTATAGTTACTAGTCCATATCAAACCAAAATATTTTCCCGTCGTAGATTATAGTTAATAAAAATAACTATTTATAGACGTAACTACGCCATCTAAAAACAAAAAGAGAATTCATAGGATTTCTACCTGGCGAAATCGAATTCAAATAAGTATAAGCCGCCGTGCCCCTAAGACTTGCGAAGCAAACAGCTTGATGAATGCATCGACAAGGGAGCTAAAAATTGCACTCCAAATGACGTTCATCATGGCCTATATTCGTAGTGAATTCGATTTCTGGTACTCCAAATGAAGTAAATAAACAAAACAAAATGACGGTATTAGATTTTGATTAAATACAGAGCAGCAACGAATATAGGCCATAATGAACGGCATTTGGAGTGCAATTTTTAGACTCCGTTGCCGATGCATTCATCAAGCTGTTTGCTTCGCAAGTCTTAGGGGACACGGCGGCTTATATTTGAATTCGATTTTGCCAAGTAGAAATCGTATGATTTCTCTTTTTGAAAGATATTGAGTATACAATAAAAAACAGTGCATATAACTGCCAATGAATTTTTATTTTGGGAAATTTATAGAGTGGTCACTTTTTTTGCTGTTCAGTGTACTACTAACATATTTTTTATTAGTACTGTTACTTACTACAGTCTGATTCGGAATATTTAACACAGCCTTTTCTATTTTCACTCCAGTATAGGCTAGAAGGACATTTCTTTGGACCAGACCATTGGTTATTTTCACAACAATAAAACATTTGGCAACTCTGGATGTCACTTCTTACGTCACCATCTTTACATATTGCCGCTAAAATTTAAATTTAGGTTAAAAACTGTAGTAGTTATGTTAGGAATTTTTATAAACATAAAACTATAAATTTGTTCAAATATATTTTTAGTTTTATTTATAGCAGTTATTTAATAGTTTTTTCTTGTTTCTTCTTCTTTTAGTGCCTGTCCTATCGGAGATTGGATATCATTATGGCGATTCTAATTTTATTTACTGCTGTTTTAAATAATTCGTTAGTGGTACAGCCAAACCACTCTCTTAAATTTCTCATCCAGAATCCAGAACATTCTTCTACGGCCTGGATTTCTGCGTCCTTGGATCTTTCCTTGCATTATATTTTGTAGGAACGTTTACTTTTGTCCTCTCATCAGGTGGCCTAAGTATTCAAGTTTTCTCTTTTTTATATTCATAATAACTTCTGGATCGTTATTTATTCTACGTATTACCTCTTTATTTGTAATTCTATCCAGTTTTTTCTTAATTCTACAGATATTCACAGTCTTCCGGTAGGTGCTAATTACCTGTAGTTTTTCTTGCAGAATACGTTTCAGTGAGTTATATCAGTTTTTTTTTTACCTTTTATACATTATGTATCACATTTTTGTACCGTATAATACTAACTCATTAGAATCTACATTCTTCTTTATTATAGTGCGTATGAACTACTAAACAGATATTGCTTATAATTACTATCTTGGGATAAAAACATAATAAACTGTACTTTGGACAAAACATACCCTTTCAAAGGAAGATATAAAGCTTTTACTTACTTGGAGAATTTGTTGAAACCACTTGAGCTAAAACATATTAACCAAATAGTATTATCTGTTTGTAGATTTTGCTTAAACTATTATTGTGAAAAATATTGTTGTTTTAAATTAGATAGAATATTATTAAGAAATAAAATGTCTGCACTTTTATCGTTTTGCAAAGAATTATGAAGTATATCATCTTAAACAACATCTTAAAAGATGTTGCTCGTGAAGAATGGGAGAGAATTTTACAAGTCCAGCTCGACTAGTTAATCGGCAGAATACCAAAATTCTTAGTTTTATTAAAAATGATTTTTTTCTATACTAATTTATTTTTAAATATAAGTTGAACATTGTAAGTTTTTCACTTCAAGAGAATAAATAAGTTTTTGTTTGTTGAGAATTGAAACAAAATGAAGTTGGCCTATTCAGAAGAGTTTATATATAAAAATCAATAGAGAGATAAAATATTTCAATATTAAACTTTTGGACATAATGTGTATAATTTTATAGTAACGTTCATAAGAGGAAACTTTACTTACAAAATCCTTAATACACAAAATTGCAGTATTTTATCTAAAGTTGTAAAAAGAAACTACGTTTTTTACAACACGATACTTTAAAAAAATAAAACAAAGCTTTTTACTTACTTGAAGCAAATTGGCTGGAAGTTGTTGAAATTACTTGGGCTAAAAAATAGAGTTGGAATAATTAGTATGAGATTTTTCAGATATTATGCAAATGTATTATAGGATATATTATTTTATTAATAAACATAGAGGTTTAAATATAGTTAACGGTACTTTTGGCAAAACATCTCTTTCAAAAATACAACTACCAGATTTCTTGTCATCAAATACTAAAACACCTCTTCCCTGTACAATTTCCATATTTCAAATCAATACTGACCCAGCTTAATACAACAAAACTAAAACAAAAAAAAAATTACATTAAACACGTTTCTTTTGAGATAATGAACTAGCATAACGATTATTTTCCTATACAGGGTGTCATGAGAAACTTTGCATACTTCTACCATATGTAGAGTCCTTCAGGGAGCATATCATGTGGCCACTAAAAAATGTCAACTCCTCTTCTTTATTAATTACCAGGGTGATTTGTGTAATTGACCATTTATTTTATTTACTGTAGTGTTTATACGGCTCATTTAATTTTTTTAATTTTTGCATGATACAGTACACTACTCTCAAGCATTCGACTGGTATTAGCTAAACTAAAAAATTTCAGGACTGGCTTTGGAAAAATTAATTTAGGAATTCGTATTAAATATTACACCCTGTATATATTTTTTTTAAAATGCAATAAGTGATTTTCAAACTACATAAATATCCAATGAAAACGACATAATGCGACAATGTTGTCGCACTTTTATTAAATTTTTAGTGAACGATCAAATCTTACCAAAAATAAAACAACCATAATGAAGTATCAAATTATAAGGTATTAATTTAAACAAATGTTATAAATTTCAAACTTTTTAATTAAAATGAGTTCCTACAACATAATCTAATACGTAGAAAATTAACATCTTTACTGTCACTTTGTATTATCTCTACGATAGAATCAATTGCTTTTCAATTTAAAATTTTTACTCATAGATCGTATTGGGGCATTATTTTCGATAAATAATAAATTAAATTGATTAAAAAGTCAAACCACTTGTATGTGTTAGTTTTTGTTGATTGTAAATGATTACAATTTTATGTCAAATAATAATACATTGCATCAACTGTACTAAATTAAAATAAATATAAAAACGTTTAAAATGAACTTTGGCGTTGACCGTTTGACGTTTCTTGATATTTTATACCCATTGTCATTATTGTCATTATCAATTGTTATTTATGTGTACAAGAATACATATTTCTTCTGTCATATCTACGTTAAGTACATTGTGTTAGTTTTGGTAGAGCTTTTGTTACTTTCGTTCAAAATACCACATCAGTTTTCGACCACAGAATATGCAGACATAATATTTGTTTATGGATTCTGTAATGGAAATGGTAGGGCTGCTGGTAGAGAATATCACAGGAGATTTCCTAATCGTCGAACTCCCAGTCATCCTACATTTGGGTCAGTTTTTAATTATTTGCAAGAAAATGGCACTTTTCCTAGTGGAACAACAGAGCGACATGTAGATGAAGCGCAGGAAGATGACATTATGGACGCCGTTACTATGAACCCTACAATAAGCACTAGACAAGTAAATCGAGAACTCAATGTTACTCAATCAAAAGTAAGTAGAGTCTTACAAAAAAATAATCTATACCCATACCACATTCAAATGGTTCAGCGACTACATGCTGGAGATGAGATCGATAGGTTGGAATCTTGTAGATGGATTAATAATAATCGACCAACGCTATACAGGACACTATTTCCAGATGAAGCCCAATTTACCAGAGACCGGATAACTAATTCACGAAATTCACATGTGTAGGCAGAAGAAAATCCCCATGATATTCGAGAACGTCGTTCGCAGTTAAGGTTTTCGGTTAACGTGTGGTTTGGTATCATAAATAACCAATTAGTAGGTCCTCACTTTTTTGATGGTCCTTTAACAGGGCAGGTCTATTTGAACTTTCTACAAAATATTTTGCTGAATTTGCTTGCCAACGCGAACGTTGCTATCTGAGGGATGATGAGATTTACTGGCAGTGAGACAACATCTCAATAATGTTTATGGCAACAGGTGGATAGGACGTGCAGGTCCTATTTCATGGCCTTCAAGATCCCCTGATTTCAATCCCGTTCATTACCATATTTGGGGACGATTGAAGCAACTAATTTACGCAGTGAATATTAATAACCGACAATAATTAATTGATAGAATTATACATTGTTATAATACTATTAGAAACTATCCCCAGAGTATCCGTAATTCAATACGTCAATTAACAATTCGGCAACAAAAATATGTACAGGCTGCAGGGTTCCATTTCGAAAATCTATTTTGAATTATTATTATTTTGTTACCATTATTGTATCTTTTCCAGTTCTAATTTATGGGTTTATCATAACTATGTACATATTTTTAATTTTTTTTTTAAATTGTTCTTCGTTATTGTTAGTAGTTACTGTTTTTTGTTGTGCAGTGACTCAGTTTATCATTTCATTTAAAATATTTGAAATTTATAACATTTGTTTAAACTAATTACCTTATAATTTGATACTTTATTATGGTTGTTCTATTTTTGGTAAGATTTGATCGTTCACTAAAAATTTAATAAAAGTGCGACAACATTGTCGCACTATTCATTGGCTATTTATGTAGTTTGAAAATCACTTATTGCATTTAAAAAAAAATATATTCAGGGTGTAATATTTAATACGAATCCCTAAATTAATTTTTCCAAAGCCAGTCCTGAAATTTCTTAGTTTAGCTAATACCAGTCGAATGCTTGATAGTAGTGTACTGTATCATGCAAAAATTTAAAAAATTAAATGAGCCGTATAAACACTACAGTAAAATAAAATAAATGGTCAATTACACAAATCATCCTGTTAATTAATAAAGAAGAGGAGTTGACATTTTTTAGTGGCCACATGATATGCTCCCTGAGGGACTCTAGATATAATAGAAGTATGTAAAGTTCCTTATGACTCACCCTGTATATACGGATGTCTCAAAAACAGACCAACATCTTGGAGCATTAGTAATATCTCCTAACGTTGTTAAAACTTTTCACTTATCTTCATTTAATAGCATCCTTACAGCCAAACTGTATGCTACCTTGGAAGCAGTAAGATTTAAAAAATTGACTCTTAACTCCAAAGTAATAATAATTACAGACTCTCTAAGTTCCATCCACACCATCCAACGATCATACTCTAAACATCTAATTGACAGCTTCACCAATTAGAAATTAAATTACTATGGGTTCCATCACACGCATTTATTTAAATGAAAAGGCAGATTAATATGCTAAAGAAGCAACAACCAGCACCGAAGCAACAATTGTGCGTGAGGTAGTAGCGAGTGATATGAAAGCGGTTATTAAAAATAAAGAAATGTGTATGTGGCAAAACAAGTGGAATACGACTGCAGAGAAACTTGAACCAATAGAACCGAGTGTGAAACCGCGGAAATAACTAAATGTAAATCGTTTGAACAATACAAGTACGAATTGACAGGTTACGCGTGGGTCATACAATCTAACTCATTCTTGCCTATTTAATATATTCAATAGATTCAATCCCCCTAAGTGTGAGTTTTGTAATGAAGACCTAAGTGTTTATCACATACTAATGAAGTGTAACACCCATAACAATATAAGAACTAACCATAACCTTGCACCTAACCTCACATCTCTTTAAAAAGAAGACTGTAATTCGGTAAGTGTTATAAACCATCTAAAGAATGTAGGTCTATTTCATCAGTTGTAATTGTAATGTAAATATATTTTTTGTGGAGCAATATAATGCAACTTATACCGCTAATACCTCTTGGTAGTTATTGCGAATAAATAAAACAAACAAAATCTCTTGTACTTTTAGCAAAACATCTCTTTCAAGAGAAGATATAAAGATTTTACTTCCTGGAAGTTGGCCCTAGAGAAGTTGTTGAAACCACTTGAGCTAAAACATATTAACCAAACAATTTTATTTGAACTATTATTAAAAGATTATTGTTTTAAATTGGAAGGAATATTATAAAAAATACTTTTATCGTTTAACAAAAAGAATTACGATATACAAAGAAAAAGTAAAAATAGTAAAGTGAAATTTCTTAGACATATGCACCCTATATTTTATGGGAACGTACGTTCATAAGAGAAAACTTTACTTACAAAAACCTCGATACTTAAAATTGCAGTATTCTATCTAAAATTGCCAAGAGAAACTACGTTTTGTGCAAAACGACACTTTAAGAAAGTAAAACAAAGTTTTTTACTTACTTGAAGTTTGGTCGACGGAAGTTGTTGAAATTACTTGTGCTAAAAAATAGAGTAGGAATATTAATATGATTTTTTTGAGACATAATAAAAATATATTATAGGATACATGAATTTATTAATATAAGTGGAGGTTTATTAAAAATAAACTAATATAATAGATCAGGGCTTCCTTTCTCATATGTCAAGAATATTAATAAAAACATCAAAATATTTAAAAATTTAGTAAAACATCGACTTTTTTCAACTATCCTTGCTTATAAATTTAAAACATTTTATTTCCAAGCAAAGTCGTAACAAAATAAAATAGCGACAATTAAATTTTTTGTAAGATACGGCTGGTCAAAATTCTTTTAAATTATTACCGCTGCTGCAAAATAGCCATAAATATGGGAAAAGAGGGGAATAGCCTTTTCTTATGCAATGTTTTTTAACTATTTAGATTAAACTTCTACCAGAAAATCTTTATAATTTACTAAAATAGTTTTCCAAATTTAATTAAAATCAATTTAACAGATTTCGCATAATAATTTTGAAATCTAAATTAAAAAAACAAAATTTTATTTAAAATATTGAACATAATAGAACTTTTGTTAATTTTTTTATTATAAAAGCTTACTTAACCTGTCTAACGAACCTTATAGAATTTTTATTTGGATTGTCTCACGAATGTTTTTAAATTGTAAACAATTTTTTGGCTTAAAAACAAATAGAACAACAGTAACTATGTGCTTATATTGCTTAAATTATATTTAGGAAACAACGTTGAAAAAAACGACAAGACATTTCTTATAAAAGAACTTTTTTTTCCAAGTTAATGGCACTGGCAAAGCCAAAAGGCTAGTCATGTTTTCTATAGTTTTATCATCTATTCCCATTGTTTACCTTATAATATACATATTAATATTATATAAATGTTAAATTAAGATACAATATTTTAAGTGTGTTAGTAAATGTCTAAATATTTTGGTTACTTATTTTTATTTTCTTTTCTTCTTTTATTTTTATTGTTAATTTCTTTCTATTGGTAATATTTTTTTATTGTTTAATATTATTCATTTATTGGTTTGCTTTTTCTTTTAGTATTTGGTTTTTTTTCATATTGTTTTTTGTATTTTTTTGTTTTTTTATTTTTCGTTTTAGGCTTACAAATTTATTCATATGTCGCAATACTGCTTACAAAGTAGTATTAATAGATTTTACATACTGATATATGATGTTGTAGATACTATTATCCTCTAATGTCAATAGATTTGAAACATTTATTGGAAATTTCATTTTGTACGATATTAAATTTTGATAGAACTTATCAATTTCTATTTTCTTTAACGGACATTCTAGAAGAATATGTTGTAAATCGGCAATTTCATCACATAGACATTTATTAATATCTAACAAACCTATTTTATGTTTATATGCTAGAAATATTGGATCATTGCAGCGCATTCGACTTATTATCCGAATAATTTAACGATTACGTGTATTCTCAAACCATGGTTTGTCCCTTATTTTTGGTTGTATATTCTTAAAAAACTGTCCTTTGTCTCCACATTTTTATTTTATTTGCCACTTTTCCTTAAGTTCCTTTCGAAAAATTGGAATAAAATCAGACTCTGGTATTTTTAATCTAAGTAGTCCTCCATTTTTCGCACCATCTATTGCTAAATAGTCCACTTCTTCATTTTCTTCTATACCTGAATGGGCTTTTATCCATGATATATAAATTTGTTTTTTTCTACTTGATACATTTTGATGTAATTCTAAAATATCAAGAAGGATGTAATTTAAATTAGGATTCAAACACAGAGTCTGTAAATATGACAAATTTATCCTCTTCTAATTCCAAACACAGATTAATTGCTAATTTTATGGCAGTAAGCCCAGCACTGAAAATTGACATCATATCTGACAGTTTGTATATTAGCTTGATATTTTTGGAAGGATAATAAACTGCACAGCCAACTCCATGTTCCGATTTAGATCCATCAGTATAAACTTTTTGATAATCTTTCCATTTTACTATACACCATTTTACTATATCTCGATAATATTTTTTTTTGTATGATAATATTGTTTTGACACAAATAGCGAGCGTTAATATGGGTCTTAACTGGAGAAAGAAACATTTCATAAGAATAATTCCACAAAGCGATTCCATTGGATTTATAAAGTTCTTCATATCTGTGAACATTTGTAATGAAACTTTCAACTAATTATGGTATTTTTTTCTTATCCCAATATTTAAATGTTAAAACCAGGCCAGCTAAACTAGCTACTTTAACCAATAACTTGGATTTCTTTTGCAAAACCAAACTGGGCTAATATGTATGCACTTTTATTGCTTTGCAGAACGAATTATTATAGACAAAGAAAAAGTAAAAATAATAAATTGAAATATCCTTGATAAATAAATCCCATATTTTATAGTAACGTTCATAAGAGAAAACTTTATTTACAAATACCTCAATACATAAAATTCCAGTATTTTATCTAAAGTTGCAAAAAAAACCTACGTTTTGTACAAAACGACACTATAAGAAAGTAAAACAAAGATATTTACTTACTTGAAGTTAGTTCGCCGGTAGTTGTTGAAATTACTTGTGCTAAAAAATAGAGTATATAATAAGAGAATAGTGTATGAAATAAATATATTATTTTATTAACATATGTAGAGGTTTAAATATCTAGACCTGAGTATTAAAAGCGCCAAACACCATTTTTGCATTTATTGTGTTAGTATCACCCCGAAAATTATAATATTTAAAACTTTCAATACAAAAAAGGGCCAATCTTCTTGTATGAATGGTTGCCTATTTCTTCATTTTAATTTTAGTCTTATCTCCAAATCAGTTTAAATTAAAACTGCCAAAGTGCACATAAAACTGCTCACTCTACTTAACTAAAGAACCAATATCCACTGAGCATTGGACTTTTTATTCCTTTTGTTTACCTTTTTATTTATAAGTCACTGGAGATTTGCATTTACAAAAACATAACGTTAAGTAAAATGTTGTTTTTGTACTGACCGGTGACGCCTTTCTGTGTTTAATTTTAAGTAAATTTCATCATCATCATCACTGGCTCGACAACCCTTTTTGGGTCTTGGCCTGTTCAAGGATTCTTCTCCATTCTGACCTGTTTCGTGCTTTTTTTTCCAGTTTTTAATTTTTAATGTTGTTATATCATTTTCTATTTGATCTACGTATCTCAGCTTCGGTCTTCCTCTTGTTCTTTTTCCTTCTGGCACTTGTTTGAATATTTTGTTTGGTATTTCGCCTTCTTCCATTCTTTCCACATGTCCAATCCAACGTAGCCTTCCTATTTTAACGAATGTTATGATATCCGGATCCTGGTATATGTTGTATAGTTCAAAGTTATACCTTCTCCGCCAAATCCCGTTTTCTTTTATGCCCTTATATATGTGTCGCAAGATTTTTCTTTCAAATGTGGCTAATAACGTTTCCTCCCTTTTAGAGAGTGTCCAGGTTTCCGAACCGTATGTGAGTACCGGTCTTATTAAGGTTTTGTATATTTGGCATTTTGTTTTTCTGGAGACGTTATCTGATCTTAGTTGCCTAATTAAGCCATGGTAACATTTATTGGCAATAAATATTCTCCTCTTCACTTCCTCTGCAACGTTGTTATCAGACGTAACTAGGGATCCTAAGTACCTAAAGTTTTTTACCGCCTCAATGTTGTATTCTCCTATTGTTAAATTTGGCAGCTGCCTTATTTGTGCGTTTTTATTTGCAGGCATATATTTTGTTTTTGTCTGATTGATTTTAAGACCACTATTTTTTGCAGCTCGTTCTATTTGAGTGAATGCCTCTATCATTTCTCTTCTTGATCTTGCGATTATGTCAACATCATCTGCATTTAAGTAAATTTATTGTAAGTAAAACAAAAAAATGTGTTCAAACCGAATTAAGAAGCTTTTCTCTTTAATACTCCAGACAAGTTGGTGATACAAATTATAAACGAAAATTGTATGTATTAAACTAAAATTGGTATACAAATTGCGTGATTTTAATAATAAATAAAAGTAGGATTAGGTCATTATACTGAAGAATCCATATTAACTTCTTTTACCCAGCCTGGTTGTAGTTATGCTATTATTATTGTGGAAATAATCCCACATGATCTAGATATGCAATTTCAGGCATCTGACAATATTTCGATTGATTTAACGATGGACCAGTCAATCAGATCAACTCGATAAATTTATAGCATGGTCTAAACAGAGTGGTTTTAAATTTGCTTCATCTAAAACTCATGTTCTCAAAAAGACCAAAACAGATAAAAGAAATACCTACTTTAAAACTTGGGATAAGACACTTAAATATGTAAATACAATTAAATATCTATATCAACAATATCATGGTTGGTAATTTGAATTCTCTGTTATATATTTCAAGGGTTTTTAGAAACCAACATCTATTTGGTTTTTTCCTTGTTTATCACCCATAAGTCCTAATTCACTTGCTGCGTCCGCAAGTCTTGTTAAACATTGCACCATGTCTCTTATACTTCTGCCCACTATAACTATATCGTCAGCCAAAGTTCCAATCCTTCTTATATTTAATTGTCTGATTGCCTTTTCAAAGGCAATATTAAAGAGGAGACACGCTAACGCGTCCCCCTGTCTGAGACCATTATTAATGTCAAAGAACGTAGAGTTTTCTCCTTAAATTCTAAAAATGAGCTTGCGTTTTGCATTGTTAGTTGATTAACTTGACTAACTTAGGCTGGATCCCAAAGTATATCATTGTATTATATATTGCAGTTCTTTTCACACTATCATAGGCTGCTTTGAAGTCAATGAAGAAAAGTTGTATATCTATATTATATTAAAGTGACTTTTCTAGAACCTGCTCATGTGCTTGAATTTGATGTTTTATTGACTTTCCAGCAGTAAGTCCGCATTGCTATTGACTAAAAAAATAAGGTTTGCGCAATTTTTGCCATTTTTTATAAATGCCAAATCAAAATTTACATCTGAATCAGAATCTTTTATGTAGATTGACTAATTATTTTATTAATTAATCGAATAATACTGATATACATACAACAGTCTGACTCTTCTTCACATCCTTGTACATGGTTATCCCAGAGGAGTGGAAAAACGCACTCCATGTGTTGTTTCATGCCACCTATACATTGATAAAATGCGCTGCAATCGTTTGGATCAGGATAATAAGCATATTCCGTGTCACATGATAAGTTAGAATTTTTCGTTGGAGCAAATGTAGCAGCTGTTATTAAACCTGAAACAAATATACATTGCTTTTTAATACTACTTAAAATTAAACAAAATATATATCTTAAATATTTTTTAAAGTTTAAAAAATATTTAAATTTCTTTTAACTTTCACAAAGAAATAAGATTCACTATGCAAGTATGTGTGTGCGTAGAGGAAAGGGATGACTTTAGACATCTTAGCTAATAGACATTAGAGTCTATTATCCACAGGATTCATTTTTATTCATAAACATATAGGTAAATATTAGGTGCTTAGAAGGTTAAATATCAATAACAGGGAACCAATGTTGAAAGGAAGAGGAGTGTTGTATTTTATTAGAGTCTAGAGATAGCCGTATCATTTTTTTAAACTCCCAGAAATATGTGGTTAATATCACCTTATAGACTCGAGATTATCCGAGTCCCGATTAAACGAGCCTCTGGACTAACCGAGATAGTAATTGAAAAGAACAAATTATGTAACAAATTAGCTTAAGAGTGATATCAAGTAACTGCGTTGCGGTGGTTGTTGGTATGCTGAAGAGATTAGTCACTAGTGAGTGTTATTGTTCTAGTCATTACGCTTCCACTGACCGGCTCACCAGCCACTCCTTCACCCGTCAATTTGAGTCATAACAGCTAACTGTTCGGTTCGTTCCACTGTAAGCTCTCTTACAAGTTTATTCATATCTTCTCATTGTGTAGTTTCTACGTAACTAAAAAAGCATTATAAGTTTAAAATGTATAGGGTTTCTTTACAAACAAAATTAAGTGCTATAAAACGCTTGGATAAGGGTAAGTCGGTAAATAAGGTTGCTGCTGGCCTAGGTAATGAAGAAGTGGCTGTGGGAGATTAGAGACGTAAACAAAAATATATTGAACAGTGGATTAATAAAAGTGTGAGTGGTGGAAGTGATTTGTTGCGAAGAACTGTGAAGAAATGAGAATACGAACAGACATCTGAAGCCTTATTTTTATGGTTTTCTAATCTTTGAGGGTCGGGAAGTCCAATTAGCGGCCCCATGCTTTAAGCTAAAGCTGTCGAACTTCACAAACAGTTAAAAGATGACAAGGAAATTTTTATTGCAAGTGATGGTTGGCTTGACAGATGAAAAAAAAAAAGTAAAAAGAAACGGATCTAATTTTAAAATGCCTTCAACTAAATCACTGGCAGTTCAAAGTAAAAAAACTGCGCATTAATACAAAAAAAGCAGAGAATGAGTAACTCTTTTAATGTGTAGCCCTTCTTCTAGGTCCCTAGAATTAAGACAATTGAAAAATTAAATAATCCAATGGCTTTAAAAATATTTAAGTAAACTGCCTACCCACCATGTACAGGAATTAACGTAGTGCGTGGATGGATTGCTAAATTTTTATAGATTGGTTTTTTTATGAGTTCGTTTGCGTTGTTAACGCCTACTTAAAAAAGGAAAACCTATATTTGTATTCTATATATTATTTTCACTCTATTGTAGATAATACTGATTTTAAATTTTATAATTAAGTATTCATTTATACCCTAGCTTTTCACATTGTACTATTATTATATTTTTCTAGACTCATATATTTCGAATTAAAAGGTATTGCTACTACTAAGTTATATTATGAGATTTATGAGTACTATAAAATTTTCTATCTTTATTACCACATAGTACTAAACATATTTTATACAAAGTAGTTTGAGGTACAAGTAGTATACACAAAGTACACAAATCTCATGGAAATCCATTACGGTCGAATTATTCTGCTCACTAGTTTCGCTAAATTGAAATCGTATATTTCTCTTTCATAGTAAGCTTTCCTATTATAATGCATAATTCTGTTAAAGGTAAAATCGCTACAATATTTAAACCATTTTTCTTTGTTTCAGATTCAATTCAAAATATTTTCGGTAAGTTATGCAATACATTATTTTACTATTTAGCCTTGGATTTAAAATTGTTAACCTAACACTAAAAAGAAATATATGAAATACGTTAGTAAATTAACTAAAGACTAAAAATACACACCCTAGTAACATGAATCATCAAGTACCTATTCAAAATACATCCAGAGTATGTTACAAAAACTTTCTTATTTAAAAATAAAATTAATTAATTTTAATTCGAAAATTAGGACCAAGATCAAAGAAAGGTCAAGACAAGTTGAAAATCAAGAGAGTGAATAATGTAGCAACATTTGGTGCTCCCGTCATAATATATTCGTATAATGAAAGAGAGTTTAGTAATCGAGTTACATCTTAACTATGTACGTGGAAGGATGTTAAAATAATGCACAAATAACCTTGTCATAATCAAACCCAAGGATCTGTAGAAAGAGCCACTCAGGACATAGATACAGAATATTTTGTGTGATGCGTGGATGCAAGATAAGGATTCAAATAAATAGTCAAAAGATTTGCCGTTTATTTAGTTCAAGAAGAACATATGACGAAGGAATACGCCAGAATCCATATGAAGCCATATTTGTCGTTTAAAAAAAGGGACCTAGCGTCGTCATCCTTTTTTTACGGTGAAATTAAATATATTTAAACTGAGGAATAGCTAGATATCTATCTAAATACTTTTTTAAAAAAATTCGAATAAAATAACTCTTTTTACATCTCGAAAAATGGCCGCTTCGCAGCCAGGCACATCTTTATACCAGCTACGAACTGCATAACATAAGCAATTTTCTTTAAAGCAGTTAGATGCACAAGATAATCTTTCACTTTAAGCAACTAAAATGTTGCGAACCTCAACTTTTTACACATAACCTGATCGCAATTTGTAAAAAAAACTTACTTTCCATGGATGAGATTACAACTAATGAAATGTCGCTAAGGCAAGAAACTTGCACTATCTGAAAAATATAGTAGTTGACAAGGCAACTCATGGTATGGTTTGGATATTTGCAATAAATTAGATTATACCTAATATATTTCCTTTGTTTTGTTTTTGTTTTGTTATATTCTATTATTGTATCAAAGTTGAAAAAATGATTATCCGATAATATATTTTAATATTATTTTAGTTATAGTTACCAACCGCTATTTGAGCCAAATATGGTTTGGCCTACATTAGATCGGGGGCAGTGTAAACAAGGAATTTTATTTTAAATGATGTCTTTAATTGATCGGAAAAGAGTATTTTTTTGTGAGTAAATATTTTCTTTATTCCTCTTGATTTGCTTTTTGCTCTTTGATCTGCGGGAAAATTAAAAGCAATGTTAAACACTGAAGCGGTTTTGATTACGTATTATTGATTAATGTTATGGCTATATTTTCTAAGTTTATGATGTTACTCTTTAGAACATTTTAGTTCTAGAAGTATAAAATTTGTAGACATAATTAAAAACTTGCTATAGTCAAATTTATTAAGTATACGTAATTCAAAAATTTAACTTACCCCCCTGCATCAAAACTGCAAGAACCCATATAATAGAACCATTTAATCCTACAAAAATATTTAGTAAGATAAAGCATATCTATTTTTTAATGTTACTTACGCAACATATTCCTAGTTTCAGACCGAAGTATATACCTGTTTGTCATAAAATTCATCAACAGCATTCAATAGATAAATGTATAAAAAAACTATATCTTATCTTAATAATATATTAAAAACTAAATTAAGTTATATAAACAATTATAGATTTTTATTACATTTTTCTGAACAATTATCTACATTTCTACATTTTTATTTTATTTTTTATTTTTCATTTACAATAAAGAGTTGAGGTTTGCATTCTCAACAACAATCAGTAAATATCTATTTGAATAGACAGATTAAAACCAATTTTCAGATTTAATTATTTTTTGCATCTGAGTATTTCACTGAGATCTTTTAAGTATAATATTAACTTCTAGACCAGGGTCGATAATTTTTGAAACCAAAAAAAATTATAGTAGAATGAAACGTATTGGAAAAGAAAAAAAAATATGTTAAAAATAGAAGAAAAGATATATTCCACTCCATCCGAGGTCGAAAAGTGGGAGGGGGTGAGTTTTTAAGGGTAAAAATAGGTTTATCGCGATTTTCAGCGAAACTACAAGCGCTACGGAAAAAAGTTAAATAGCAAAGTTGTAGGTAACAAAAATATCTACAATTTCTGTATTTACACTTGTTTCAAATAACCTCAAAATTTTTGTGGAAAATTCAAAAAACTTAGTTTTTGGTTTTTAATTTTTATCTTTTTCCAAAAAAAAAAAACGAAATTTCACGAAATTTGGTAAAAACTTGCCTTAGCATGTACCAAACACACTGTAATTTTTGGAATTGAAAAATTAATTTCTTACTTGATATTGAATTAATATCGAAGAAGCACCCTAATTTTTAATCGAAAATTCACGCGTCAAAATATCAGCTGTTTTTAAAAAAGTCGGTGTGTTTTTTGTTTCTACTTTCTGATAGTGTAAAAAAATATACATTACTATGTCAAATGTTTGTTCAAACAAAAATACAATTTACATAAGTACAATTTAAAAAATATATTTATTTAGTTCAAGTAAATGTATCAATCATATACTCTATGGCACTGGTCGATCATCTGTAACCAAAATACCTTCGTAATCGGATTATAAGGTTGACTGCTGTATTTTATTCCTTCAGATATAAGGTGGGTTAGTCGAAAACATCTTAAACTGTCAGTTTCAGGTTGGTTTTTACTATTATCTCGTATTACCTATCCTCTCTGTATTTCAGTTCTCTAATTAGGGTTAAACTTGTAGTGAGCTATGGACAAATTGTGAACCGGTTATAAATGTATGTGCAGTCAGAACAAAACAAAGGGGTAGAATAAATATTACAGTGAATTCCTAAAATCTAGGAACGTTTAAAGTATCCTGGAGCAATAATTACGGCTGGAAGAATGAAGAAAATGTGAAATGCCTACAAAATATAATATAAGCAGAATTACACAAAAGAAATCTACATGACCGTTGATACATTGATTAAAAATTCCATAATCTTGAGAAATGCTGAAGTACTTCAACGACCTCAAAAACTACAAACATCTAGAACCGATGAAATAACCGTAGAATTAATAAGGTATTGGGAAAAAATATCATTTTATCTTCTTATTGGGTATAATCTGATATTAGGAAAAAATGTGAAATTAGATAAAATAAAAACTGAACTACAAACGTTTCAAGGTCCCAAGGTCCTCTTAATATATGCAGATGATATACAGACTTGAAGCAACAGAAAAAGTTGGACTTGAATTTAGTGACAGAAAGAGAAAACTAAATATATGTGCAATCCGAACAAGCCAAAGGGGTAGCAATAGACTAAATATTACAGTAAATTCCTACAATCTGTGAACGTTTAAATTATCTTGGGGCAATAATTACTGCTGTAAACTAACAATTAGCTACTAATGTATGCAAAATAGAACTGCGTAAAACAATAAATCCAAAGTTTAATGTTTATATTTTTAAAATGGTATAATTGTGTATATATTTGTATTAATAAATAGAAAAGTTACGATTTACAAAATAGATTTTGGACCATCACCTTTTGTTTAGATTATAGTGAAGCAATATTGAATAATATTTAATTTTATTTGTTACTTATAGGAAAGGGAGTACTTTTTAACACTAAATCACTTGTTTAAAGGAGATGTGGTGCTACAAAGTACCCACTTTTATAAATTAAATGCCTCTTCTAAATTAAATATCTGTTTTGTCTCTATGAATGCGTTCTGTTTATACTTGTGTATTCTAATTTTAATTTTTGAAATTTTATGGTATTACAATCCTTTTCTGTCCAAATAAAGACCAAAATTAAATCTTCATTAACTTGTTAAACACAATTTGGAGTAATTTCATACCCAAACCTAAATAAAAAATAGAACATTTATCTTATACCTTGTCTGTTCTAGGTAAATGATTTCTATAAATAACAGATATTTTAAAGTATACCCCTTTATTAAACATTAATAACTTTTAAATAATATAACATCGCGTTTAATTTTCAACAAAAAATTTACATAATACCTACACATTCCGACCCTAGTTGTTAATATCTATTCAACTCAAGAACTATTCTTTTACTTGTTAAATAATTGCAGTAAAACCAATAATCACCTGTCACAAGTTTACTATAATGGATTTTTAAACTACGATTTCTCAATTATTTAATAACAAATCCTTGTATCAGTATGTAAATAATATTCATTTAATTTCAATTTTACTAAATGACTTTTTACTTAATTTTATATTTAATTAATTATTTTATTTATTTATTTAGCGTATGGCTACATCACAGGTTCATATATATACATATAATATAAATTATATAAATTACAAACAACAGTAAATATAAAAATATTATTCTACAAACAAACATCTAGATTATAAATATATTCGATTGACTCTTTTGTAGCAGCCAGGAAATCTGAAGGGTTGCCGTTAAAGGATCTAATCGGGCACTTCTCTACCATATGTTTTACTGTTTGCCTTTCGGCGCCGCAGTCGCAATTTGGTGATTGTAATTTTTCCCCATCTAAAAAGTGAGTCGAAACATCTGCCACAGTTCGTTCTTATTCTATTGAGTGTGGTCCAAATTCGTCTCGGTTGGTTGAAGCCCTCAGGTTTGCTTGTAATACATGGCATGTTCCAGTTAGCTGGTGCAGCGTTATTCCCCATTGTTCTCTCCACCGTTCAGTTACATTAATGTTTTGATCTACTAGCCTTTTTGCTGTTTTTAGAGGCGGGTGTCTTGAACGGAGCCTATTTATTGGAGATTGCAACCCAATCCAACTAAGACAGAAGTGTCCTGCTTCCATTTGTACAACAAGATGGCCAACTATCAACCTCAAATTAATTTTGGGGATAGACTCCTTAAATATAATAAACACCCAAAATACTTAGGTGTTACACTTGACAGAACGCTGAACTTTAAAGAGCATCTTACTAAGACTGCTGCAAAACTCTGAACTCGTAACAACATCCTGCAAAAGCTCTGCGGCACTACATGGGGCGCCTCAGCATCAACACTTAGATCGACAGCATTAGGACTGGTATACCCCGTAGCGGAATACTGTGCACCAGTATGGATAAACAGTCCACATACTCACCGTGTTGATGTCCAACTCAACCAAGCCATGCGAACTGTATCGGGCACAATCAAGGCCACGCCCACTTACTGGTTACCAGCTTTGAGTCATATAGCTCCACCACCCATCCGCCGGGAACATGCCCTTGTCAGAGAATTTACAAAAATCAATTAATTATTAATATTTTAATAAGTCACATACATTGGCATTATTGGTATATATTTTGTACCCGACAGCACCCTAATACGAATTGCGGAGCAGAGTATGGGCCACTTGGACATGTGAAAATTTTGAAGGTCGTGGGAAAAAGAGGCATCCTTTGATGTGCCGCTGGGTGTCAAACGTGGAAAGGCGACAGGTGTCCAGATCCTTTTCTTCGTTCGTCGGTAAAATCGTTTTCTTCTTCTTTGTCTGTAAATTGGAACGTCAAAAAAGTTAGTAACAGATCGAGATTATTATTTTCAATGTTTGAGCATTTCGGGCTAAACTTCGTCATTTCTAAGGCTCTTATCATCATTAAATGACATCATTAAATCACTTAAATGCCATCTACCTAATACTATTATATTTTCAGCATTTTGTTTACCACTTACCTTTAACCTAAAGATGTATAATAGCAAATTTTAGTACGCAAAACCGGTCGTTGATGGTAGAATAAATTGATATAGATGGTAGAATATTTATATTCATTTTAACCTACTTGAAATGGTACGTGGTTAAGACACATCAGTATATTATATAACTATTTGTATGGAAAATAAAACTGCTTCTTCTATTTTTTCTACAATTTTATCATATTTTCTCGAATTTAATTAAAACAAAAAAAGTAAATAGACGTGAAGATTCTTATATCTCAGTATCATCATCATGTTGGCTTTCAGTCCAACGTGGGTTATAGACTCGTCAAGAATTTCTCTCCAGTCGTCTCTATCTATCATCTTCCTCCGCCAAGCACGTATTCTTATATTTCTCATGTCTTAATTGATATTATAAACCTGGGTATTCCTCTTTTTCCCTTAACAATGAGTTCATAAAGAAGCATTTTTCTAGTTGGATTATTTTATTTCATCCGCATTACATGTCGTATCTACCTCAGATGTCCTAATTTAATATGTTTTACGATATCTGGTTTCCGGTATATTCTATAAAGTTTTGTCATCTTCTCTACACTCGATTGTCATTCACTGCTCCAAAGATTCGCCTTTTCTACTTACTTTTCTTTTTCTTCTCTAAGTACTTTTCTTTCCAAACAACCTAATATGTTTTCATTACTTTTTCCAGATCTCTAAACCACATATTAGGACTAGGCGTATTATTGTTTTAAAGTTTTATTTATGAATTTAAGATTAAGTTCAAAATAGCATTTGTTGACGGTGAAAATGGTGCAAATTCTGCGGTTTATCTCTGCGGTAGTATTATTTTTAGTGTTAAGGAGCGCTCCTTATCCTACAAATTCGTTCACTCCTTCGATGACGTTGTTTTCTATAATAAATGGTAGTAAGATTTATGGTTGCTTGCTTATTTTCATATACTTCGTTTTGTTGGTGTTTATTATTAAACCTATTTTTGTGGCTTATTCTTTAAATGCAACATACGCCTCTCATACAGAGTTTTCCGTTCCCCCAACAAATATTGATATCATCAGCATAGGCAAGAATTTGACCTGATTTATTATATATTAAACCAGTGATTGTGATTTGTGACATACGTTTTACTTTTTCTAGAGCCAGATTGAACAGTATACTGGAGAGAGGGTCTCGATGGCGCAGCCCGTTATTTGTTTTAAAAAGTTCAGACAGTTCCCTCTGAATTCAGACTTTACATTCAACTTTTTCAAGAGTTAGTTTTGTTAAATTTATCAACTGATTTGGTATTCCTCTTTCATTGCTTTGAATATTTCTCTTATATTAACTGAGTCGTAGGCTGCTGTGTAGTGTATAAATGTAATGAGTATTAATGATACATTTCAGTGTTCTTTTTTAATTGGTTTCAGGATTGCAATCTGATGAATTGTCGATTTACTACCTCTAAAACCAACCTGGTATTTTCCTACTATTCGTTCTACATATGGTGCCATACGGTGACATAATACTGTGGAAAATATTTTATATATTGCATTATTAGAGGCCTAGTTTCTCTATAATTAGAGCATTTAAATATATCTTTTTTTTTTGTGTATCAAAGTATTCCAATATTCCAATTATTGAAGATGGCTTTATTTGCCCGTATTTCTTTTACAAACTACTGTTATGCCGTTAGAGTTCGTGGCTACCTTCTTAGCTCTCAGATTATCTATTCCGGGTGATCTGTTTTGGCCAGTTTTTTAAATGCATCTTTAACTGCATGAATCGTTGGTGGTTCTTCTTTACTCTCGTCTGTTCCCTTTATCTCTTCTATTTCGTCTTTTGGGTTTTCTTCTTCTTCCTCTATATTAAGTGCCTGGTTAAAGTATTTCACCCAACTATTCAGTACATCTTCCCTTGTTGTTAATAGGCTTTTAATCCTCACTTTGTGTTTTAATGAACTACCACTGTAGAGGTGTAGTCATATAAAACATTTAGTATATTAAGTGTAATGTAACTGTTTGTCTGGGAAACCAAAACTGTTCCTTCTTCTTCTTCTTCAAGTTCCACTCCTATCAGAGATTGGAAATCATTCTGGCAATTATAATTTTATTGGTTACTCGCCTGAATACTTAGTTCAGTTGAACTGCATCCAAACCATTCACGAATATTGCGTAGCCACGAGATTTTACGTCTTCCTACGCTCCTTCTACCTTTGATTCTACCCTGCATTATATTTCTTAGTAGTTCATACTTTTCACATCTCATGATGTGCCCCATGTATTCCAATTTTCTGATTTTTATGAAATTTAAAACTTCGCATTGTTTTCCTAGTTCTTCGAGAACTTGTTCGTTTGTTTTGCGATCCATCCATGATATTTTCAAAATACGTCAGTAACACCACATTTCGAATGCTTCTAGGTTTTTAATGTTGGATTTTTTAAGTGTCGATTATGCTGCACTCTGTCAAATGCCTTCTCAAAATCAATGAAACAGGCATATACTTCCTGATTAATATCTAAGCATCTCTGCGAAAGAACACTTACTGCAAACAGTGCATCTCGTGTTCTCAGTCGTTTCCTAAATCCCATTTGTGTATTACTTCTTCCTTCATCTAATTTCTTATGTATTCTATTGTGAATTACTTTTAAAAACAATTTCAAGACATGACTCGTTAAAGCTATGGTGCGATGTTCATTGCACTCCTTTGCATTGGCTTTTTTGGGAAGCAGTATGAATGTTGATTGGAGCCATTCTTTAGGTATTATACCTGTTCTATATATGGTATTGAATAGATCCAAAAGAAGATCAATAGATTCAGTATTTACAATTTTAAGTAATTCGATTTGAACTTCATCAGGCCCGGAAGATTTACCACTTTTAGCTTATTTCATTGCATATTCCTTCTACTATTTTTATTATAATATCATCATATTTTCTCACCTATAAAATCTTCCGAAGACCTCAAATTAATATTTTAAAACCAAACTTAGCAAAATCAATTTAGTCGTTCTTGATTTATTATAAAATAACGTTTGGTAAAATTCGTTCGATTTCATTAAATCCTTTCCCTATTTATTCTGTTAGCTTCTACAACGCTGTAAATGCACATGACTTCCAGTTTGCTAGTTTCCTCTTTTAATCTTTGGTTTGTGACTCTTTTTGTTATTTTTGCTTATAGATTTCTAAAAGCCCTCTAGTAAATTCTGCAAAAATATGCCGTTTTTACAGCATTGGATATCCTAATAATATGGACTTCTTTCCTTTAAAGCGGGATTAAAAGAATTTGAATGATAGTTTGCTGTTTATAAGTAGTGTAAAATACACTAGTGCCTTCTTTTGTAAGTTTTTTGGGGCTTGATTTGTGGTTTTATTTTGCTTTCGTGTGCTTCGGGTGAATTCTTTGACTTTCGTTGGAAGCATCTCGGTTAATATCTCTTTGTAACTGTGTTCTACCTGGTGGCAACTCTACGATATCTTTCAGATCATCTGTTTATTTCTTGTATTTTATTTTAAAACCATTTGATGTTTGGTTATTTCTCTTAAGAATGCCAATTTATAGACAATTTGTATGGGTATGGGTAAGTCTGTGTTTTAGCTCATGGTTTAATCAGTTATCCAATTGTTTGTTTTTTTCGATTTCTAATTCTCTGTTCTTGCCTTCTTATGAGTTTTTTTCTTAATAGATGTTCTGTCTCTAAGGAAAGGTATAATCATCAAAATCTGCTTCTGGTTGTTGAGGTTACTTCTTTGTGTGTTTCTGACTTCTTATCATGTTTTATTTTCTTAAGAGATATTCTAGCTCTAGAAGGAAACGTATAATAATCAAAATCTAGTTCTTGTTATTAAGGACACTTTTTAATTCCAGCAACCTCCATATTCGCTCTTTTGTAGTTGAAATACTTGCTATATTTTTGATTATTTTATATTTGAAGTTTCAAACAAAAGTTTTTTTTTCAGTTTTTACAATTTTTCGCCATTGTTTATATCTTTTTGAGTACACATAGAAGCTGTATGCTTGTTAATAGTCATTTTACGTGAATGGTCCTGTGATTATTTATTTTAAAATTATGGTGGGTTTTTACAAATTTAACACATGTCAGTATATTGGGTCTTGGGGTCTGATCTAAGCAGATATCATTTTTGTGGTCTCTTGTTTCATCTATACTTGTATGTTAGTGGCTTTCACATTCTCTGAATATGGATGTTTTTTATTAGGTTGTTTTTTAATCATCTTCTAATTAAGATGGTTGTGTACTTTTGTCATTTGTATATACTTTATATCTCATTTATTGAGGTTTTTGTTTTGTATTTATTTTTTAATCAGTAAGATAACATCCATGTTGTGACTAGTACGAATTTATTTAGGATGGACATTATGTTATAATCGCATCTACTGAATTGCAAGATACTGTACATCATTATAGGATTAGTTTATGCTGTCTTCAATAAGAGCATGTTATTGTATCTTAGAAGCTTGTTTTTGGGGTTTGTGTTACAGAGTTTCTTGTACCTATCGATGCAGAAGTAATATTAGATGTAATCTTCTCCACATTTTGCATTTTAATTAATTTTTTTTAGTAGTCTACTATCGTATACTGCTTTACACTAGATTAACTTTAGAAGACTTGGTATCTTGTGGAATATTTCATGCCATTTTAAAGCAGTTCTAGAGTAAAGTACTAGATTGGTCGTTTTTCTGATGTGCCTCTTTAATTTATGCAGCATTTAATATTACGTATATGATCTATATATTTAATAAAAATTAAGAAATAAAAACCAGTGGTCTAATATTTGTTATCTTTATTTAGCTAATGATTGAATTAAGTAGTTTTTGTAGCATTTGAAGTATTCTTCGATCAATACTTTGTATATGTAAGTCAGCGCCACTTTTAATTATTACTCCAGGCTAAAAAAATAAATATGAATTAACATTTAATAATAAAAACTGATCTAAAATAAAATTTAAAATTGAATATTTATCTTAGTATGAAAAATATTTATCAAAAAGCAAACGAATATCACACATTGTATTGCATGACATTCCTGGAATTTGAAAAAGCATTCAATAGCATATCACATTGAGTAGTAATATACGCTTTACAGAACAGAAGAAATGGATATTGTTCTGCAGATCCAATCTCAAATATAAACGAAAAGATAACATCTTTGAAATTTATGGATCAAACTTGATATCAAGATGAGGGTGGAAATGCGAGACCTAGGTGTAAAAAATATGTTCTTGTATGGTCGTACAAATGCTGATTAATTGGTTCTAATTTGGATGCCACACTTTATTAATTAGAATAAATTAAACTTAATAATCAAAAACTTAGAAATAATGTTTGTTACAAAAGCATGTTCTTAAAATTACCGAAATTTTTAATTGAAAACACTTTATTCAAATTTCTAAGGTTATTTGCCCTAAAACTGTTTATTTTTAGTAGCAGTAGTGGTTACAAAATGAAATTTAAAAAAAATGCTTTTAGAACATATCACTAAACAAGTATACAGGAGCTTTGAAAGTATGATCAAAAATTAGATTTTATGTACAATTAATATCCATACTATCTAGAATGATAAAAAATGGCATACTGTCAACAATTTCTTTTGTGTCGTATTTATTATGGAATATTTCATACATACCACTTTTCAAAGTAAAAACGTTGCACGTCACAATTTATATAAAGTGATGTCACTTACATATAATTTTTTTTTCCAGAACGCTAACCTTAGAGTTTAAATTTTCCTAACACAACTAATAATACAAAACCCATACGGAACTGCTCGATCTTTCATAGGCGGCAACATGGTATAATAATCACAAAAATGTAATTATCATCAAATTGGGAATTTTAGAATTAAATTGATTAAATAACCAAAAACGTTTGTTATTATTAATAATGTAAATTTTATAAAACAGCTCTAAGTCTAATATCCCACAAAATAATAATTATTTTAATTAAATAGATTAGACAATTGTACGTAACTGATACGGATTACTTGAAGTTTTAATGACAGTTCATCGTGTGGTAAAATTGTTAGTGTTACCGCTTTTTTAGAGTAACAATTTTGTTTATGTTTTGATTTCTTACACAATTTAATCATACGATATTATATATTAATAAATTTCATTTTTTTAAAACTCATGATTGTTGTGTATTGTGATGGCGCTATGCCAAAACAACTAAATAGTCTGTAGAAAGCTAATAAGCTTTTATTATTTTGAACAAGAAATAATGGCGGGACGTTTTTAATATAATTGCTTTAAAAGAGGTAAGTTTAAAATTTTTAATATTGGTTTTGTATTAAAATGTTTTCTTATGTATTTTTGTGTATTGCAGTAGTCTTTAAACTAAGTGTATTTAATGTTAATATATTAATTTGACAAATAGTTGACATTTTAAAAATTCCTCACTTACTAAATATTTTGGTATTTTGGCAACGCTGTGGGGTTCTAACGTCGTAAATCTTCAATGAAGTGCAATCAATTTTATATAAAAAGTTCTATAAAATTGATTGCACCTCAATACTTTAAACAATTGTGACACGCTGAACGGTCATTAAAATTTGAAGTATTCCCGTATCAGTTGCGTACAATTGTCTAATATATTTAATTAAAATTATTATTTTGTGAAATATCAGACTTAAAGAGTTATTTTATAAAATTAATATAATTAACAATAACAAATGTTTATAGTTACTTAATCAATATAATTCTAAAATTACCAATATAATGATGATTACATTTTTCTGATTTATCATATCATATTGACGCATATGAAAAATCAAGCAGTTCCGTATGGGTTTTGTATTATTGGCTGTGTTAGGAAAATTTGAACTCCAAGGTTGACGTTCCAGAAATTTTAAATATAAGTGACGTCACTTTATACAAATTGTGACGTGCAACGTTTTTACTTTGAAAAATTATATATATATATATATATATATATATATATATATATATATATATATATATATATATATATATCGCACTTTTTTATATTTTTTTACACTGTTCGTGTATTTTAAGATGGCTCCAAACATTTTTCATCCAAAAAAACTGCTTCATTGATGACAGTTAATCTCTAAACCGGCGAATATAAAAGATAATTTCGAGAAGGGTTTAAAAAGCAAGTACCGTTAACTGATAGTTTACCAGAAAAATTAAAAACTAAGAATTAAACAAAACGAAAAAAATTTTTTAGAAATTGACCTTTTTTCGACTATTTTCAGTTACACAAATTTTATTGTATTATATTTTTCGGTCAACTTGTTATAGAAAAAACCAAGTCAAATAAAATCCGTACAAGTTTGTTTAAATCTACCAACTAGATGTGCTTTTGCTCTTATCTATAATAGGTTACTACAATTTGGCCGAAAAAAAAATAATAAAATTTTTGGGAGCGAAAGTAGTCGATAATAGAAAAAAATTTTTAACTGTCCGCCATTTTGTTTTGTTCTCCAAAATTTTTAATTTTTCTGATAAATTATCACGTTAGGATATTTTTATTTTAAACCCTTCTAAATTTTATGTTTCAGTTTCAGTTTCTTTAAAATTAACAGTTTGCATTGGAGCAGTAAAATTTGTACGAAAAATTTTAAGGATGATTTGTACTGCTTAACAAACCTTTAAAATTTCTGCTCCATCTATCAATTAGCTTTAAAGTTAAAATAACTAAGATATTATTACTCTATTGGTACCGTTTGAAAAATCAATACTTTAGTTTAAAACAAAAAATCTTTTTCAAAGTTAGTTAAATAGAATATGGCAATAAAATTACTCAAAAATCATAATTCATATACTTACGGCAGTTAACTGCTTCGGGAGGTGCACAAAGATTGGCTAGATTGCTAAAGAACAATCCTTTGGAGCATTCAAAATGACCTATTTTACCATCTTGGTTATAAACGTAATACTTCGAACAATCTTGGGGATCAGGCCAGAATTGGAATCGTTTAGAATCTAAAACAAACAACAATTTACATACATAGATTACGCAATAGTAACATATTATAGACCCATGTCAAGTTTGGATGTCATATTTGTCTCTTGATGTCTCTTGAACATCACAGTATAGTTCTCGTGGACCATAAATTGTTAATTCTTCTCAATAAAGTTCTCGTTCATTGTCATTATAGAGATTTGATTCTGTAGATTATATAAGTGATCTGAGTTTTTTGTCTAAAACATTCTATATGTATTTTGCTAATTTTTAAATATGGTAGTTCTATCGTTTGGACCCTTTTTACTTGGACCATAGTTGTTTATTGCTTGGTTATTTTTAACTCCACTGTTTCAATTGGATTCAACTGAATGTGAAATACAGTACTGCGTGACTCTATCAATATTTTGTATCAACAGTTAGATCAGTTGTTCCATTTGCAAAGTAAAAAGCATTTTGGATTATAATCAACCTTTTTTTAACGCACATGCGATGCTTGCGGTACCTCAAGAGGACATTCGGAAGAATTAATTACATGAGTGAGAATGAAATAAATAAGATAGATTTGCACTAGTCAATTAAACTTACAATTAAAAATATTATATATAATATGTATGAAGCAAAAGCATATGGAACAATTAATGCTGTGTTACCAAAAATAAAAGACAAGGAACTGTGTGATGTTAGTTTAATAAGTTTGTGGACAGTGCTGAAACAATTAGGTTTTCGATATAAAAAGACAAACAAGAGGCAACTATTGTGTGAACACTCTAATGTTGTTTCACAACGGTGGCATTTTTTAAGAAAATACATAAACAATGAAACGTCTGATAGTCCAAGGTAAGTTGTATTTTTAGATGAAACTTGGATTTTTGTTACACAAAATATGTCAAAATAATCCTGGCAAGATGGCACCACGAGATGTTATTCTTCTAGTCGTTCCGGTAATGGTAAACGGTACATTATACTTCATGCTGGAGATGATAAGGGGTTTTATTCCTGATGGTAGTTTAATTTTTTCCTCTACAACGAATACAGATAATTACCTTGAAAATATGGATGCAAATATTTTTAAAGAAAGTTTGTTAAAAAAATTGGAGCGATTATCCCTAATAACGTTGGATAATGCATCGTATCACTCAAGGGTAGAATACACTCAAGCAGCTGGACAAAAGAGTAAATAAAGTTGTCGTTAACAGAAAAGAAAATGTATCACAATGACATATTGTTAAAAATCGATTTACTTCAAAGGTGTAGAAAGCACAAAATTCAAAAGAAATTTGTTACTAACCAAAGGGCTCTTAAATATGGCTATGAAGTTCTTCGACCTCCGCCCTACCATTGCCACTATAATGCAATTGAGTTAGTTTGCATCTAAAAGAACAGATGACGCTAACGTTCTTAGTTTAAGAAAATAATCGCTAGAACAAATAAAGGCAGAACAATGGCAAAATGATATAAGACATACGGAAGACATAATCTTTCATTCTTTTGAAAACGAGCGAGTTATAGAGGTCCGTCCTCTAATTAGTCGGATAGACAATTCAGATAGTGACGACTCTGATAGTGAAATATCAGACAGTAAATAAACAAATCATTTGCTAAAAAGAAGTAACAAAAAAGTGTTCCGGGAATTCAATTAGAACTAGTGGTGTGTTTTAGTGAAACAATAAAATACCTTCGGTCTAATTACTGGACTGCATACTTTCAATAGCTTTGGTATTAATTACTGGACTACACGTGTTTAACTTAACAAGTATTTTTCAATATTACTGCATCCAAAATCATTCGTATAAATTTTACTCTACGCAAAATAGAGACTTATAGAGACCTTGATGTTATATTTTCTCTACCCTCTTGTATGGAGTTGAAGCTTGGACACTTAAAAAATCCAACATTAAAAACCTAGAAGCATTCGAAATGTGGTGTTACCGACGCATTTTGAAAATATCATGGATGGATCGCAAAACAAACGAACAAGTTCTCGAACAACTAGGAAAACAATGCGAAGTTTTAAATTCCATAAAGATCAGGAAATTGGAATACTTGGGGCACATCATGAGAGGTGAAAAGTACGAACTACTAAGGAACATAATGCAGGGTAAAATCAAAGGTAAAAGAAGCGTAGGAAGACGTAAAATCTCGTGGCTACGCAATCTCCGTGAGTGGTTTGGATGCAGTTCAATTGAACTATTCAGGCGAGTAACCAATAAAATTATAATTGCCAGAATGATTTCCAATCTCCGATAGGAGTGGAACTTGAAGAAGAAGAAGAGACCTTGATGAACATTTGATGTCGACAAATAATCTAGAGTTTTCGAAATACTCCGTCCTACGTCTTTTACACGCTCTGTATATACATATTATATTCATTTCATTTGCCTTTGATATGTACAGTAAAATTCAATATTATTATTGAACATAAAATACAGAAAATTAAATATGTTTACTTTTTAAGCGATCGGAATTAAATATTAACGCGCCACTATTTGAAGTCTACTGATCATATCTTAATTGCATATCGGCCGTCACAGTGTAAAAGGACTTTATAGGAGAATTGTGAATGATATCATTTTATTTTGTACATAACTCTTTCTAATCACATTTACGAAAAAATAAAATTGTTGTTTACAACATTATTCCGTTTAAGACTATTCATAAGCCACTTCAAATTAAATTTTACAACGATGAGATTAAGAGAGACAAGCTCACTAAATTATTTTGCAATAAAATTGATATATACTTACAGCAATGAACATTTTCGTGGCGATCACAAATATTTTGCTGGTCATCAAAGAAAAAGTCTTTAGGACATTGAGCTAGCTGTATTTTACTGTCTTTGCAGTAAAAGAACCTAGTACAGTCACCATGATAAGGCCAATATTGACTTTGTTTGCAGGCTGAAACGTAGTAAAACAAAATAAAAACAAGTAGCAATAGGTTAAGTCAGATATAATAAATGCATTTTTTATACCCCTATAAAATGTAGAAGGGTAATAGGTTCTTGGACACAAATTTCTTTTTTCTTTTTTTTTATATCCTCCTATGCTATTTTTAGTATAGTTATAATGGCTCTGGTGCGATAAATAAAGCATTACCTACTTTTAAGATTTTGGAAACAATTTGGTTATGCTTATATCAAAGCAATGTTTGTATGTTTCACGATAGCTTAAGGGAATTTTTGCAAAGAAACAAGTTGTAACTAACACATAAAATAGATGTCAGAGATTTTAGTCCAGCTTAAGTATTTATGACAGCAAATATTTTGTCCTAATTAAGTTTATTTTATGAACTACCAAAAATTAAATGTCATATCTATCTATAGCCCTGAGGACTGCAAACCTAAGAAGAAACTAGAGGCATTCTACGAAAAACGGCTAACCATCCTGGATGAAATACCTCATGAAGAGCCCTGAATTCTTATGGGTGACTTTAATACACGAATCGGAAATAAAATAGTTCCAGGAGTACAACAAAGGTTTAGTGAAAACCATGTCAACGCAAATGGAGAACTCATGGCTAATATCTGTGCTTTTAACAAACTGGGAATCAATAACATATTTTTCGACCATGAGCTCCAGTATAAATATACATTTTAAAATTCCAGGAGCATAAATCTATTATTAATTTTATGGTAAATTTTATGGTAACTAATAGAAAAAACAACACAAAGCAGAGTCTAGATATACCAACTTTAAACTCAGCAGACGCAGGGAGTAAACAGAAACTGGTACTAGCAAAGATAAGAATGAAAATAAGACCAAAACAAAATTTTCTACAGCAAATCACCGAGGAAAAATATAATGTAGAAACATTGTGAAACGACTCTATAAGAGAAACGTACCAAAGGAGGTAAAAAAGACATACCGAACAAAAGAAAAAACAACAATACGCCATGGTTCATAAAAGAAATAAAAGAGAAATAAAGAGGCTTACACGAAATACAAAACATCAAATACCTCGGAATCCCAAGACAACTATAGATAAATACAAAATGAAACAAAGCAGTTGGTATGAAAAACAAAAAATGAACACTAGGAATAGTTTACAAAACGAATGGAAAGCTACTTCTGCAGTACACAAAAACAAATATGGAGATTCATAACAAACCAACGGATACAAAAAGATACCTGACGAAACTATTTAAAGCAAAGAAAAATAATAATTAACACAATAACGTACCTGAATTAAGACACGAAATAGAAATCGATTTTCAGGAAGTAAAAATAGCCATAAATTCACTCAAAAATAGAAAGTCAGCAGGACCGGACAGAATAACTAACGAACTTCTAAAGCACGGAGGAGAAAGTATTACCCTAGAGATGACAAAACTTATACAAAAACTAATATTGCACTGCAAGATACCAGACGCATGGAGAAACAGCATAATGATACCAATGTTCAAGAAAGCAGATAAAGAAGACCCAACAATTATAGAGAAATAAATCTACTAAACACCGCACTTAAGCTTAACACAAAAGTACTAAACAACAAAATCAATAAACTAACAACTTTATCAGATGAACAACAAGGATTTAGATTCGGAAGATCTTCAAATCGAAAGGCTTTCGATCGCATCCAAGTCGAAGACGTCTTACACCTCATATATAAAAGAAACATACCAATCAATATTATACAAACAATCGAAAACATCTACCTCCATAATCGAATACAGGCAAAGATAAATGGAAAACTAACACAGTGTGTACCAGTACAAAGCGAAGTCAGACAGAGTGACTAGTTAAGCCCACTTCTCTATTATAATAATGGACGAAATAATACAAGCAGTACGTAAAGATCATGACTACAGAATGGTAAACAAAGAAAACCAAATATTATGTTATGCAGACGACGCCGCATTAATAGCCGAGACAAAAGACGAGCTCCAAAGATTAACACATATCTTCAATACAACAGCTAGGAAATACAATATGATAATATCAGCAGAAAAAACCAAATGTATGACAAAATCTAAATATCTACTACGGTGTGAAATCGAAATTGATGGGAAAATACTAAAGCAGGAAGCAAGGCTTAGATATCTGGGAATAGATATAACTACTTACGGAGATATGAAAGAAGAAGTACGACAACAAAGTTAAAAAGCAATTAAAGCGGCAGGATCTCTTAATGACACAATCTGGAAGAATAAACATCTAAGACAAGACACAAAAACAAGAATCTATAAACCAGCAATTAGACCTATATTAGCATAGATGGCGGAGACAGTACCTGACACATCTAAAACGAGACGACTACTAGAAACAACAAAGATGAAAATACTCTGACGAATATTTGGAAAAAGTCTGTTGAATAGGGAGAGAAGCGAAAACATAAGAAGAACATTAAATATAGAAGACCTAAATGGATGGGTGACAAAACGAAAACAGAAGTGGAACGAACACATCAGTAGAATGGTAGAGAATAGAATAGTACGAATAGCACGAGATAAGTTACCAAATGGATGAAGAAGTATTGGCAGACCAAGAAAAAGATGGTGCGACTGTTTAAATAATTTAGAAGGCTCATATTGAAGAAGAAACAGGCTTTAGAGCCTACATACAAGAAGGAAGAAGAAGAAAACGAGATTGTTTTAGGCATGCCTTAATAGAAAAGTCTACTAAAAGCAGTTCTGCTTAAAATACATAGTGTAATATACATGTAATAATCAACCAGTATATTACATAATACTATGTAATGTAATGTAGGGAATAAGCCACAATTTTACTTTATAATTAAGATTTTTGTGGTTTCAATTTAAATATATATAAAAACAAACGTCAAGTAAACTTGATATAAAAAAAATGTCTTATACCGAACAAGAACAACAAATTGCATTAATATGCCTTAAGAAAATAGCCTCACAATGATATTTAATGTAAGTTCGAACTCTCGTTTCTCAAACGTAATATTTGTAAACATCTACATGAAATACATTGTTTCATGATCTCTAGATGTCCAGTTATATTCACTCAGCCTTAAACACTAAAACTTAGCCAGCCTAAAGGCATTTTCTATCAATCAATTAGAAAAAGATCAAGTATTACTTCTAATATTACCTCCTAGTATGAGGTTAAAACATTGGGCTAACTCTCATTACTTGGAAAATACGATAAATTTGGAAAATACAACGCGTTGGAAAAGATAAATAAAATGAAAAAAAACCAAAAATGACGACATATACTAAGAGTAAGAAAAATAAATGTTTTTTTTTATTGTATAATGGCTTTGGCATAGCCAATTAGCCAGACTATTTGTGGTAGTTACAAATTTTGATTTATTACCTAAGCCTATTTATAATATAATTTTACAGGAAGTAATATGTTAGTATATACATTCAATTTTTGACATATTTACAATTTTTAATTTGAATACCTATAACTACTTATTATTTTAATTTACAGAACGTTATGTATTCGTATATACATTTTACTATCTGCTTATTATTTGAAAAAATAATTGTATTCAAATTGACAGGCAATGGACAATTTAGCTCAATTAGTTTTTCATACATCATTTTGATACTTTGTTTGTACTGTCCACACTCCAATATAAGGGGCTGCAGATCTCCCACTTTACCACAGGAGCAATATGGGTTATCAGTGAGGCCTAAGCTGTGTTTGTATGCAGGAGTGAGTGCGTGGTTTGATCTTATTCTGTTTATGGTTTGTATAAATAACCTGTTTGTCTCATATTTGAACCATCTTTCATTGAGTATTAGTGGTTGGCAAGCTCTAAAGTTGATTCCAGTTGTACTTTGGTTGTATAAACGTTGCCATCTTTGTTTGCAGTTGTTTCTACTGATATTATCTATGTCTGCTACTGGAAGAAGTATGTTGTGTATATTATGTTTGATTAAAGCTGCAGATTTAGCTAATTTGTCGACTTCTTCATTTCCTAATATTCCAGAGTGTCCTTTTACCCAACAAATAATAATCGAACTACCTGCGGAAATAATATCATAATGTAACTTCTTGATTTCTATCTCAATATGGTTTAAGTATTTTGTGGTTTTTATAGAAGTGAGTTTGTCCATAATGCTTCTACAATCAGTCAGAATGATAATTATTCATTCCAATAGAGGCTATATATTTTAACGCAAGAAATAAAGCTGATAGTTCGGCAGTATATATTGAAGCTTCATTGGGCAATCGACATGATTATTTGTAATCAGCATTCCAGTGATATATTGCACAACTTACTTTATTTTGAATTTTAGAGCCGTCAGTAAAAATATATTGAGATGCAGGCCACTTATCTTTAATTATTTTGTTGATCATACTTCCTGGAAGATTTGAATCCATATAATATGTTTCTATTATCTTAGAGAAGAGAGTCTTAGGAGGTTGTGTATAAATTGGTGGTATTTCACTTTGATACATTTGTTCTTCAAATATTGTTAATTTCCTATAACTTTTATCTATATGGGAGTTTTTTTAAGCTTAAGTCTGATATATTCAACTTACGAATATTCTTTAAATAGCTGAAGTTTTTTATATAGCTCTAGCTACAAACTTATCTGTAAAGAACTGTCTGCGTAGTGTAAGGGAAGGCTCTTTAGCTTCAATTTCAATAATACTAATAGGAGTAGATTTTAAGTAACCGAGACATAGCCTCAAACATTTATTCTTTTGGGTTTCAATTTTATTAAGATGTCCTGTTGACGCAGACCCATATAAATGACAACTATAGTCGAAAATTGGTCGAACCATTGAGCGATAAAATAGCAATGCAATATTCGGGTCAGCTCCCCAACTGGTTATACAAAATTCTCTAAGGATATTCATGGAGTTTTCCGATGTTTTTATAATAGAATTAATTTGATCCTTCCATAACAGTTTACGATCCAAATATGTGCCTAGATATTTTACACAATTTTTGATTGGAAATTCTATTTTTCCTAGTTTAAAGTTACCTTGAGGAGTTTGGCGTTTTTTGGAAAAAAAAACAAATTTCAGTCTTTGTAGTTGATATTAATAAGCCTAGAGAATGGTAATAATTTTTTACACAATCTAGTGTAAAATCTCGCTGCTACGCGGCTCGCGCGCAACTTTTTTACTCGCATGTAATAAGCTTCTTACAACTCTCGTTATGTAATATACTATTACTGCATCGTAACAAAGAAAAGAGAGACTTATAGGGAGAAGGTATACTCATATGAAAATATTCTACTCAAGTATTCAGATTTGCTTGGCAGCCTTTGTGAAAAGCTGACCAAAACCAATCTGAAAACCAGAATACACAAATAGTGTAGACATAAAATATAATCATGTATTAGATAATGTTAGATAAATAAAGTGTTTATTAAAAATTGCAAATTGTCAAAACGATAAAGCAATAGTGGTAGGTGTTTAATTTATAAGAGACCGACAAACTCATATATATATATATATATATATATATATATTTATTGTAATCTTAATATACTTTATGAATATTTAATTATTTATACCTTTAAAATTATTAACTAATTTTATTTTTATATTTACTTACTGCACTCAACATTATTTGGGTCATCACACATATTTGAGGAGCTGTTAAAGAATAATCCCATGGGGCATGGCCAGTGCTGCATTTTTCCCTCACTGTCACACTCATAAAACAACGAGCAATCATTAGGATCAGCCCAACGGTCACCTGGTGTACACTCTAAAAAATTATAATAATTTTGTAATTTTATGTTAAGGCTGTTTTATCGGTGCACCAAAGCGACACCTAGCGACAGTGTTTTCTCTGTTATTTACCTCAAAAATGTCTCGAAATTTGGACACGTTATTCAAAATTATGTTGCCTTTAAAATGATGGTTTTATTTTTTTAATTTTTTTGAAACTTCTGTTGAAGAATTGGATTACATTGTTTATCGTTATATTATAACCAAACTTTTTACGCCCATCACTTGAAAGATTTTTTTTCTATAATCGTTGATTTTGATTTTTCTTTAATTTCTGTGTCCCGTAATAATCGAGAAAAGCGTATTCCAACTTTAAAGCAAATTATTAAAAAATACCAAAATCTAATAGTGAACGCGTTTCTCATCGGCGGCGCTTAGTTTTATCGTTATCGCCTTCGGGATGTCAAATTTCATGAACGTACGGTCAGTTGGTTTGCTTAAATCAGAATCCATTTTGAATTATTCATTCTTGTATTTTCTTAATCACCTTACTTAGTATTTACAGTTTACAGTATTCAGTTATTTTGAAAACATTAAAGTTCTTTAGTTTACGGGCAGGTATGTTTATAGTATATTACATAACGAGAGTTGTAAGAAGCTTGTTACATGCGAGTAAAAAAGTTGCGCGCTAGCTGCGTAGCGGCGAGCGCAGTAATGTTACAAGCATGTAATAAGCTTACAACTCAAATTCTGTACTATACTTTTTCTACCATTATTTTCGTTTATAAAAATAAAAATCAAATTACCACTATATTTACACTGACAGATTAATAATTTAAAATCTGTCAAAATAACGTCTGTTTATTCGTTTCCATGGTAACTCGACCAACTGACTTACAAGGCTTATGTGATATTACACATTTTTATAAAACTGAAGCGTAATTTTTTTTATTACGTGCTAGTCATTACGTGTCAGTATCTGTTATGATGCATTTACTTAGCATCCAAATAGTGGGTAATATACAATTTACTAGTAAGAGAGTAGAAAAAGTAATATATTATTAGTTTAGTGGTATAAGTTATAAGTTCTTTTTTGTTTAATTTTTACTAGGTTAATATCAGTTTTCTTTAACAAATAAATAACATCTTGAAATAATTTTCAAGCTATGACTACGAAATTGTTTATTTGTTTGTGACAACAAATTGTAATTTTTTTAATAATAACATTTTTATGTTATTTTAAATTTATTATAAATAAACAGCATGATGTTTTTGAAGTTACGTTTCACAAATTTTTATTCAGTACTTTATTTAGCTGAGACATTTAAATTAAAAATGTGATAATTCTTTTTAAAACATTATCTATGATAATCAATCTAAAAAGGTATTTCCGACAAAACTAATTTGAATGGAGAATAATGCATTTGTTGTCATTAAACTACCCGTTAGCCGGCGCCACTGAGTAAAGATGATCCGACGTAAGCAGTGTAGAAAAGTAAGTGATACGTTCACTTCAAATCGCAGAGTGCTTTAACTGCTAAAATAGTGTTAAATATTAAAAAAATATCTATTTAAAATAAGTAGAAGTCAAAGGAAGATATGTCAAAAAATGTGCCAAAAAAATCACGACGTAACGATAATCGTAATGAACCTACATCTGTTCTCAGTCATGTTCTATTGTTCATTTTTTACTAAATATTTTTTTATCCGCCAGTGCAAGTCCTTTCTTATCCTTGATTAACGTCATCCTTGTTCTGAATGCCGGTATTGCTTCTTGTGTAGTTTTAAATTTTACATAGATTTAATTATTGTCATACACTGAATAAATATTTGTTAATATCTCCATCAGCTTGTCGTGCTTAACTGTATCGAACGCTTTATAGTAATCATTAAAGCATGCATGAATATTGCAATTATTCACATCTCACTTGTATTCTAAAGAGAGCCTCTATCGTACCTACTGCGTTTCGAAAACTAAACTGTGTACGGCTGTTTTTTTTTCGCATCATGTATACATATACTCCTTTGTAATGTTTTATTTTTAAAAATAACTTTAAAATATGGCCCATTTAGCTGATGGTCCGGAAATCATTGCAGGATGTATTTTGTTTTCTTTGGTAGAGCAATAAACGTTGACTTTCACCATGATCTTGAAATTACTTCGTTTAAAAGATGTGAAGATGATTTACAACGTATGCTGCATCAATTTATTATGACCGCCAAAAAATTTAACATGTTAATTTTTACAAGCAGCAAATTTACTAAGATGTAATGGAGCTGAAAGGTCAGATAATATGACAAGTGATGTTAATGTTAATTTTCCCCAAAATTTACAAGCAGCAAATTTATTAAGATGTAAATTAGAGCTGAAAGGTCAGATAATAGAAGTGATGTAGTTTACATATGTAGGCATTATATTATCTAGCTAGGCAAAGCTCAAAACCGAAGTGGAAGATCAAGTGAATAGAGCAAACAGAGCCGCAAGCTGCCTAAATGAAACAATATGGAGAAATAAAAATATCGGGAAAGAAACAAAAGGCAGAACTTACAAAACAGTCATCTGACTAATACTGACAGGACAAAAAGGATGTTAGACACAGCAGAGATGAAAAGCAGAGAAATTGATGGTAAGACACTATGGGACAGAGCTAAAAGTACAGATATACGACGTAGATGCAAGGTGGAGAACATGTAGAACTGGGTAAGAAATAGAAGAGTAGAATGGAACGATGATATAAGCCGAATGACAAAAAAATAGAATAGTAAAGACAAGAAACGGTTCCCCAATAGGAAGACAGTAGGAAGACCACGAAAACAATGGAATGACAAATGTCATTTAATATTTTGTTACTTATTGAGTATCGTCGGTGTTAAATAGTTTTATGAGTTCAATATATGCATTTTTAGGTCAGGATCTTTGCCTTTTTTTAGTTGTGATATTGCTTTTTCCACTTTATCTGATGTGATAGATAAGTGGTTCTTTCATATGTATTTCCACCTAATATTTTAGGAGGCACTATGGAAAAAAACTAAATGTATAATGATTAAGGGAGCATCATTAATACCATGAGATTTGCAATAACACCAATACATGGTGATTTACAAAACCCATGTTGACAACATAATATATCTGACATTGGAGGGTAAAACCAGTTAGTGTCAACAACTGTAAATACCTCGGAGCAATTATAAACTAACAGTGAGATCAAGATGAGGAAATAAAAGTCAGAATTAAAATAGCTCAAAAAATAGCTAGAATTATACATTACGTAAATATGACATCTTACGGATAATATAAAGGTTACACGAGGAGTCCGACAAGGCGATATAATTTCACCCAAACTGTTTACCTTGACCTTCGAAGACCTAATAAAATCAACAGATTGGGAAAACAGAGGAATACGTACTAACGGAAAATACCTATATCACCTTAGATATGCGGACGATATACTCTTGATCTCCTCGGAACGACAAGAACTGGAAATAATGCTGAATGAACTTAATGAAAAATCACTGCAAAAAGGCCTAAAAATTAACTTCAACAAAACAAAAGTAATGACAAACACGGAAGACCAAGAGGCGATAAAAATAAAAACAGAAAAAATAGAACAGGTAAATGAGTATATCTATCTAGGACAAGCAATCAGAGCTAACAGAGAAAATCAAACAGCCGAAATATCGAGACGAGTAAGAATGGGATGGACAGCGTTCGGCAAACTTTTTTACGTTCTAAAAAATCAAACAATCCCTCTATACTTACGAAGCAAGGTATATAACTCCTGTACAATACCGGTGCTCACTTACGGAGCACAGACATGGACATTTACACAGGCCAATTTGGATAGGATAAGGAAGGCACAAAGAGCGATGGAGAGACAAATGTTGGGTGTATCACTTAGAGATAGAAAACGTAACCAGTGGATCAGAACCAGAACAAAGACAGTAGACGCGATAGAACAAGCAGCAAAACTGAAATGGAAATGGGCTGGACACAATGAACGTCTCCAAGACGGACGATGGAACAATGCCATCGGAAAGTGGCATCCATACAATGCAAATAGATCAAGAGGCAGACCACAGATGAGGTGGAAAGATGACATCAGGAAACAAGGAGGTCCCACATGGCAGAGAACAGCTCAAGATAGGGAAAGATGGATAGAACTGAGGGAGACCTATATCTAACAATGGAAAGATAGAAATTAGGTTTAAAAAAAATATGACATCTTATATACCATCAAAACATTATAAAAGTAACATTTTACACATAGAAGATACTACAAAAGCTAGACAATACTTTGTAAGACGGCATTAAAGTAGAAACTGAAGGAATGTAACGTACATGCTTATATCTAGCAGAGGTGGAACGTAACCATTTTACTCGATGAAGTGAATTTGACTCTATAGCTATGCTAATAGGTTAAGGTAAAAAATAATATTTTAATAATTAGACGATATTTTTTTATAATCCAAAGGAGAAGTATAATACGGTGTACAATATTTATCAATAGCATAAAAAACAGCTTATTTTTCGCTACTCGAAACCTATATTTAATCCCAAGGTGAACAAAACTATCTAACAAAACCCCGTTATTTATAGATTTTAAACTCACCACTTGAATTTGCTCCGTATACAAATACGGCTCCAACCAAAAACAAGAATACAGCTAAAATTAAAAAAAAAATTATTATTACAAATAGTACGTATTTTTTAATGTATTAGTTTTTACTTACGATGCATGACTTTTATGCCTAGTTACTTTTCAATAGACACTGTTCTAATACAACTTAAAAGTGGATTCGTACATGCTTTTATAGTACAAATTGCTAACATACAACAAATCCGCTACATTTTTTTCACTTATAAACTTGTTATAGATAAAAATATTATTTAAGTTATCACAGGAAATGCCACTGGAACGTATTATTGTTGATCGATCGTTTAATATTTGAGATTGTATACACCTGGATTGCTTGATAATAGGAAATAAGTTCTCAATCTTGATATAAATCAGCACTATCTATAATATTATAGTTATTATTATAGTCATTCAGAAATTAAAAAAAATAAACTTTGATAGTATACAAGGCAACTATCGAACACAGTGATTAATTAAATCTTGCCCAAGTACTTTCGATCAATAGATCATCTTAAGGGGCATCTGAAATAAGCCAAGAAACGTTTTTTTATAAGAAGGAAAATTAATTCACTTGGATAAAAAACTCCAAGTTTATGGTTGAAAAAAGTGTTTATGTGATAAACGTTTATAGACTTACTTCGTCAGTTGTGGCCTATCCGACATGAGTAGAATGTCATATATGTAAATTTGGACATAACAATACAATACACAAAGACAAACAAACACTTTAAAATTTTTAAAAAGCAGCTTGTAAAGGGGAGTTATGTGATCTGCACCTTTCAAAATTCTATGAAACTAAGTATTGACCAAAGGTCCAACTGACACCACTATAGGAAATCAACTGATGAAATATAAAATTAGTATATTTTTATGTAGATTGAATAATCCAAATCTTAAACTCAAACCTGTCTATAATAATTAGGATGTTAGTTTGAGAGCGATTGAAGTTGACATAAAGTATAAATGTAAGAAAAGACTAAACAATATATTAGACAGTGGACGGTTGACTACAATAAAATGGTCCACCAAGCGCTATCAGTACTGTAAAAATGGAAAAATCTGAATTTAATTTATCCAAATTAATTTGAGTATTAAGACAGTGAGAGTTTTCATTTGTTTCCCTTGTAATCTCCAAATCTTCCAATAAATCCAACTCAAGATAGTTTTTCTTTTTACTAATGTCATGTAAGATAGATGAACCAGAATTAATGTTAAAATTATGGTTTCTGGATACTAAGTGTTGACCAAAACTTGAAGAATTTGGTCTTTTCAAATGTTCAGAGACTCTAGTGGATAACTTTCTGATGGTTCTACCTACATACGAGGCATCACAATCATCACATTTTAATTTGTAAATACCACTTTTATCAAGTGTATTCATGCTATCTTTGGTATTGATTAAGAAGGAACCTAAAGTGTTATGTGATTTAAAGGAAATTTTGATGTTATCAATTGTAGAAGTAAAAAGTTTAGATATTTTATTGGAAATACTACCAATATAAGTGAAGGAGAAATATCTGATGTTATCTGAAGCATTAGGTTGAAAAAACTGTGATGAATATGCAAGCTTTTCTGCAATTTTTAGTTTAGCTCTATTTAGAAGTTTGTATATAATGTTAGGATCATAGCCATTATTGAAAGCAATCTGCTTAAGAGTATTAAGTTCTGTATTAAAATTATCATCAGAAAGAGGAAATTTAAGTTACCCATGAAGGTAACTGTTGAAAGCAGCCATTTTATGTTGAGTTGGGTGATTAGACGTTCCATGTACATCGTGATCTGTTTGGGTGGGTTTTCTATAAATGTTGTACTGTAAAGAATCTTTAATACGGGAAATAGTCATATCCAAGAAGTTCAACTTATTGTCAGATTCTGGTTCCACAGTAAAAGATATGTTAGGATGGAGGTTATTGAGATCATCCAGAATCTGTAAAGCATCATCTTGGGTTCCCTGTATGAGAGCTATACAATCATCCACATATCTTGACCAAAAAATTATTTTGTTGTTGTTATTAACAAACTTTTGTTCTAAGCTGTATAAGAAAATATCAGCTAGAAAAGGTGATAATGGAGACCCCATTGCTAAACCTGTTGGTTGTTTATATATTTTTTGATTGAATTGGAAGAAGTCCTGATCCAGAGCGAATTTAAGCATAGTTAATATAGCATCTTTATCCTTTGCAGATATGTTGCAATTGTCTAGAAGGTTGTGTACTAAAGGTAATGTTTCATCTCTTGGTACAGAAGTAAACAAATTGGAAACATCAAAAGAAACTAAATAAAAACCCTCTTCTATCCTATTGTAAATGTAAAAAAATGTAAAAAAAATAGCCGTACAAAATAAAACTGTAAAGAATATTGTCCACCAACTAAACTTCGAGGAATTTTATTTATCGTATGATCCTTGACACCTACTTATATACGTTAGATATAATCGAATTCACATGTACCAAGTTTGCCAAAGTACATCGAAATTATTTATATAGGCTTATCGATTTTAGGTCGCCGGCCTTTAGGAAGTCTGCTGATCTGCCGTCATATGTTCTGCTGATGTGTTTATTAGATTGTAGTTGTTCGTAATCACAGAGCGTGGATTAGGTACCATTATTTTGTTCAGGACAGACAGTGCTAGGTTAAACACTTATGATTTTTGGGTTATTTAGCACGTGTTATTATTTTATTGTTTATTACATTCTCGGGTCCATATGTTTGTATGTTTAAACGCCTTTCTACAGTGGTCTTTGCTTATTTTGATGAAGATTATCTTGAAGAAAGTACGCTATGGTTGGTAACGTTTATATTTTGGTGGATTAGCAGCCTAACGTTGACACCTAATGTGTCATACTTCGCTTATTGGTTAGAAAAATGTAGCTGTTAATTTACGGAACGGCGGAAATCATTGCTATTGTATTTCTTAGCTAAACACCTTTTTTATGAACCGTGAAAGTTGTTGGCGATAAAAAGACAAAGTTTAGCCCAAATGATTAAAGGTTAGATGCAAGTGCTCCCCATATTGTGCCCTACGGTTTTTGGACCACTTTTTCCTGGATTTTATTTTTCCGGTTTTGTTGAAGATCATCATAAAGTACTTTGATTTGCTATTGTAGACGACTCTAGGTTAATTACCCTTCTTGTAAGATTGGTATGTAAGTGAAAATTAAAAACTTCTGTTATCTGTTTGAAGCCTTTATTTGCAAAATTACTTTCTTGTTGTCTCTAAGTCCAGCCTAATGATTTTTCCTTTTACTTCAAATGACCTACATTTTAATGCAAGGACTAAGTCACTGGTGCAGTCAAACTTTGTCAATCGGGTTTTCGGCGTGGCCTAGATGTACATGATAATAATTGGAGGACGTATGACAGCCCAAAAACGTACATCGATCAATCGGATGGAACTTTTAACAAACGGATGGCAGAACACAAAAGTGCTTTCAATAATAAAAAAAAAACAGATTCTACTGCGCACTTTACCTAATAGATCATAATCGTTCTTTTAATAATCAATTTCAAATTCTTTACATCTAAAATAAAGGCCTTAAGCTATTATTATTAGAATATGAAATGTTGGACGCATAACAAAAATAGCTCACTTGAGAAAGGCACTCTGCCGAAATAGCTGTACTGATAATTAATTATAATAAAAATTTGTTGAAGTGTTTTATAACAAAAGATTTCAATGTTTTATTGCCTGATAAACCTATTATTTATATTAGGTATTTTTATTTTAGTAAATAAGGTATTAAATATTTTAACTAATTACAAATCTTACATCTTCTTCTTTGAGTGCCTCTCCTATCGGAGATTGGATATCATTAGTTGATTTTAATTTTGTTTACTGGTGTTTTGAATAATTCGTTAGTGGTACAGCCAAACCACTGTCTTAAATTTTTTATCCAGGTCATTCTTCTGCGGCCTGGAATTCTGCGTTCTGGGATTTTTCCTTGCATTGCCTACGTGTTCAACGTATTCAAGTTTTCTCTTTTTTATATTCATAATTTTTTCTGGATCGTTATTTATTCTGCGTATTTCCTCTTCATTTGTACTTTTATCAACCCAACTTATTTTTAGTATACGGCGGTAGCACCACATCTCAAAGCTTTCAAGATTTTTAATATTCCTCGGTTTAAGAGTCCATGCCTAAACACCGCAAAGCAAAGTACTGAATACATAACATTTTAACATTCTAGTTCGTAGATGAATACTAATCTTAATTATAAAATAATTTTTTTCATTTTTATAAAGGTAGACTTTGCAATTTCAATACGTATTTTTATCTCGTGATTTTGGTCACCTGTTTCAATAATGAGGGCTCCCAAGTATTTGTATTCGCTTACTTTTTCAAGTTGGGTACCGTTTATGGCGATACTAGTGTCATGTATTAGATTCTTACTGAAGGTTATATATTTGGTTTTTTTAACGTTCATCCTTATGCCGTAGTTATTACATATCTCATTCATACTTTCAACTAGATGTTGTAGATCTTCCGCTGTTCTTGCCATTATCACAGTACCGTCAGCATATCGAATGTTATTGATAACTTCTCCATTGACTATTGTCCTTTCGTTTGCATGTGAGAGAGCTTCTTGGCATATTTGATCGCTGTAGATATTAAACAAAAGCAGTGACAATATACAACCCTGTCGTACTCTTCTACGTATTTCTATTTCGTCCGATGTTTGGTCTTTTACCTTTATATTAGCTCGCTGATTCCAGTGCAGATTTAATATTATTTGTGTGTCTCTGGTGTCGATGCTCTTACCTTCCAAGATTTCTTTGAGTTGATTGTGGCGTACTTTTTCAAAGTCTATAAAGCAGGCATGCACCTCTTGGTTAACATCTAGACATCCCTGTGTTAGGATCTTACAACAAACTATAAACAAATGATTATAAACAGTTGCAAATATTTAAAAAATATATTAACACATTAAAAATAATAATTCTAGTCATTTTTTCATCTTCACAACAAAGGTTTCTTTAATGCTCTTGCCATATATTCTTATGGCAAATAATGGACATCTATTGAGAATGCCCCAAAAACTTCACAGATGGTTGAAGAAGAAAAAGGGGTAGACCTCGACGCTCGTGGAATGAAGGAATTGGAAGAGCGATGGAATCGAGAGGTTTGAAAGAAAAGCATGCCTTGGA